TTATGCAACACAACTGTGAATAACTGGACAGCTGAGATGGCTCAGCTGGCAAAAGCACTTGCCAATCAAGCCTGATGACCCGAGTTCACTCCCCAGAACACACACCAAGGTGGAAGCAGAGAACCAACTCCTGAAAACGGCCCTCCTCTGACCTCCACATTCGTGCTGTGGCTCACGCACACGCAATAATAATAAACAGAATTAGAGGGTTTTATTACGTTTACTTCATCATTTAGGTGTGTGCTTGCACATGCATGTGGGCGCCTATGTGCCACAGCACGTATGAGGGGGTCAGGGACAGCTTTCAGGAGTCCGTTCTCTCCTCCCACTGAGTGAGTCCCAGGGATCAAATTCAAGTTGTCAGGAATCTCACTGGCCCTTAAAGTATCGTTTTAAAAAGAGAACAGTTATTTTTAAGACTATGACTGATTTATTGTGACCTAATTTCCAATCCTTATTCTCATTTTCCCACTTCTCCCAAGAATGACTTCAAAAAAAAAAAAAAAAAAAAAAAAAAAAAAAAAAAAAAAGATCATTTTTTTCTCATTTCTTCATTTGTCCTTGAAGTCTGTTTAAACCTAAGCCTGTACCCTTTCCTTTCATTTTTATGGCACAGGTCACTAGAAAAGTCTGAATTAATTTTCCTATATCTTACCTTCAAGGACATAGAGATAGCTTGGCAGACAAAGACGCTTACAGATAAGCCTGGTGACCTGAGTTCAATCCCGGGGACCCACATCGTAGGAGAGAATTGACACCTGAAAATTGTCCTGTGATCTCCATACATGTATGTGCTGTGGCACTACAGTGTGCATGCACACGTGCGCGCACACACACACACACGTGCGCGCACACACACACACGCACACACACACACACACACACACACATATACACACACGCTAACAAATATAGTTTAAAAAGTTAAGAAAAAAAATCCCATGTCCAGATTTGTCCATTTGCCTCCTGGAGGTGGCCGTGCCTCGTTCCCCTGTTCCTGTTTCCTGTGAGCCAGGAATTGAACCTAAATGACATATATCTGTACACTATGAGGCTGGCATATTTCACAGGTGATGCCATGTTCTCCCTGCAGCTCACAGGAGCCTGACGTCAGGCATCTCAATGATGATGCTAAGCCTAGGTAGGGGCAGCAAGATGCCCTATGACTAAGCCAAGCAGCCTGGGGGGACTATCCAGGAACTAGTTTCAAAAGCTGTCCCCATGTACCCTGAAGAACACCCTGGTTCCGAGCTGTGCTCTTTTCTGTCTTTTTTTTTTTTTTTTCCATTCCCTGCTGCAGGTCAGGTCGTGGGCCTCTACTCCCGCTTTGATGTCATTGTAAGTGTTTGTAGGGACTGGGGGTGCTACAGGGAGGCTACAGTATGAGGATCAATCTGTTGCTACCTTTTGCAAGCGTGTCAGAGTGCAATCTCCAGGCTACAGCCTAGGTAATGAGGTAATCCATGACTCCCTTCCCCTTGCCCCAGCACCTGGCTGCCCAGCAAACCTACAACCACCTAGACATGAGTGTGGGAGAAGCTTTGAGGCAGAGGACACTGTGTCTGGAGGGGGTTCTCTCCTGCCAGCCCCATGAGAGCTTGGGTGAAGTCATTGACAGGATTGCTCGGGAACAGGTACCTTGCACCCCTCCCGGCATGCCCTCAGCATAGATGGCCTAGTTCTTTGCATAGCTTGTATACTGGGCACTTGACCTGTCTTCCCTTTCATGACCAACTTTTGGCATCTGCATTGGGAGGTGTCTGGTCCTGTGCATAGGGCCCCTGTGCCAAGATCCACAGCCAGCTGAGTGCTCAAAGCCATCACCAGCTGTTCCCAGGAGATGTCCTTTGCTTCTTGATCTGTGTTAAGCTTTCCCCTTATTAGCTGCTATAGCCAAAGGTACTGCCCCTCCCTGAACACTGTGGACCCACAGGTGCACAGGCTGGTGTTGGTGGATGAGACCCAGCATCTTCTGGGCGTGGTCTCCCTCTCTGACATACTTCAAGCACTGGTACTCAGCCCTGCTGGCATCGATGCCCTCAGTGCCTGAGAGCTCCCGAGTCCTCACTCCCGAGTCATCTTCCTCACCTGAAAACCAATGAAAGGATCTAGGGGAAATTGGCCTTCATCTTCTCCCACCCCCTTTTGCTGGTTCTGCTCTGGTACAGGTAGGCTCTGCTGTGAGCTGTAGGGCTAGTCCCTCAGGCTTTCTGAGCTCCTGATCTCAAGTTAGGGTACCCTGAGGATGGCAGTGGCACCAGCTATCACTGAGCAACCTCATAGAAACTGTCAACAAAGCCTTTTCAAACCACTACTTTGTCCCATCTCCAGCTGAGGTTGTGGAGGTCCTGCTGGAAGGGATGGATGGAGGCAGGGCATCCTGAGCTCTGGGAAGGTATAGCTGCCTTCTCTCCATTCTGTTCCCACTGGGAATTTCTTGAGAATAAAGCAAGCTAACAACCTTTTGTTGAATGCATTTCTATTATCAGCATTGACTAATATGGGAGGGAATTTCCATTTACTGCTTATTTCAATGAATTTGTCAAATTGTGGACTGTCCTGGTACCATGCTTGGTTGGGGGGCATTGCCAAAGGATGGGGCAGAAATTCCATCCAGTTGGCAGTAGGGTGAGATTCCTGTTGGGAGGGCACCTCCTCTTCCCGATTTGGTCACCATCTCCTCTTTTTCCTCACAGGCTCTCCAGCCTTAATTAAATTGTCCTTGCTATACCTATACTCCCAGAAGCTTTTGGGCATGCATTGTACACCAGGATGAGGAAATTAAGACCACTCGAGTCAAGCCTGAAAGTCCTGAACCAGAGTCACTGCGATCAGCCTAGAACAATGTGTGTGCCCCGTGCTTTCTTATGCCCTTCCCTCCACCTGGGTCAGGGCTGAACTCAGGGTGGCAGTGAGCATGCAGCCTATGGATTTAGCTGGGAGCCTGGAATGCTTGGTTCTGGATGCATGTCCCCAGCTCCTAGGAGCCCTGGTTGTTCTTTCCCTGTGGAAGCCACCATTGTGCCACCACCATCCTACTCTCCTGGCATTTCCAAGCTTCTGACAGCCAATATTGAGCAGCCCTTGATTCTAGAACTGCCTGCTGGGGCTACAGGTATTCATCGTAGTTCCCAGCTGGTGGCTTTTACTATCTGCAGCTGAAATGGGACTGTCATGGTGCCCTTTTGGGGTCTGCCATTGAGGTCTATAGAAGCATGTGGTATTCTTGGGGCTCCTGACATTGTTGTACAGTGGGCTCCTGAGCTCTCGCCAATGAGCACCGTTCCCCCTCAGTGTCCTCTACCCCTAGATAGATTCAGATCCTTGAGAATGAGCAATCAAGAAGAAAGAGCAAGCCATGACCTCAGATGCTATGGACTTACTCAAACACTGCAGTCATTGAAATGAACTTGTGACAAGCTCCTCGTGTCTCCTGAATTCAAAGACTTGAAGGAAAGTCTGCAATTGGCAAAAACTGCAAGTGGCCTTTCTTTTGTGTGTAGACTGTTATTCTGCCAACATTTTTAAATCTTTGATTTGTAACAAAATGATAAGGAAAACATTTATTAATTACTCACATAGTAGGTGAAACCCAGTCTACAAATGGGAGTCCACAGGAAACATAACTGATCCTGTAATACTGGATGTAATTTCTACAATGAACTCAATTCACCAAGTAGAAAGGAATTAATCTCAGTTAAGTCTGGGTCTCGTCATCTGCTGTTACCTGCCCCTGTGATGTCATGAGCCCTCAGATCCAGAGGTCCAACACAGAAGGAGTGGATTCATATTTCTACAATCTTTTAAAATTCTTTTTCAATTACTTATTTTATTGTGTGTGCATGCAAGTGAGAATGTGCCACAGTGGGGTGGTGTGTGTGTGTGTGTGTGTGTGTGTGTGTGTGTGTGTGTGTGTGTGTGCATGAAAGTGTGAGTGTCCCACAGTACAGATCAATGGACAGCCTCAGGCATGGGTCCTCCCTTCTACCTTGTTTGAGACAGGGTTTCTTTGTTGTGCCTCTGGGGATCTCCTGTCTCTACCTCCCATCTCCTGGGACTGGAGTACTAGGATTCCAGAATCCACTATTCCTGTCTTGTTAAGCTTTACATGCATTCTGGGAATTTGATCTCAGAGCCTCACACTTGTGCACCAAGTGTTTTACCCACTGAGCCACTATGCCATCTCCCTAGCTCCTTTGCTTTTCTCCTCCTCCTCCTGGCCTCACACTTGTGCACCAAGTGTTTTACCCACTGAGCCACTAAGCCATCTCCCTAGCTCCTTTGCTTTTCTCCTCCTCCTCCTCTTCCTCTCCTCCTCCTCCTCCTCCTCCTTTTTAAATTTCTTTTGAGAAAGGGTTTCACTATGTACCCCTGGCTAGCTTAGAACTCATCATGTAGGTCAACATGGTATCAAACTCATAGAGATCCACCTGCCTCTGCCTCCCAAGTGGGATTAAAGTCATATGCCACCATGCCCAGCTGGTTACTCCCATTTTTAATTTGTTTTTTTTTTGGGGGGATCTTAATACTGTTGACCATAATGGCCATGCCTTTAGTAGTTGAAGTATAGACTATGAATACTAACTTCCAGACTCTAATCCCCAGTCACACAGACACCCAACTCCACTGCTCAGGTGAGTATTAACTGATTCAACCAACTCTCCTGCTTCAACCTCCAGGGTAGCTGCAACGATAGGCATTCATTGTGGTACCCAGTGGGTAGCTTTTACTATCTAGAGCTGAGGCGGGACTGTCACGGTGCCCTTTTTGGGTGACCATAAAAAGTCTGCTAATTGAGGTCTATAGAAGCATGTGGTACTCTTGGTGCTCCAAGAAGTAGGTCCAGCAGGACCACCCACCGTGAGCTGGGTACAGAAAGGCATTCCCCACAAAAAGAGGGTCAGATGCTGAGTGATCAAAAAGAACAACAAAGAACCCCCACTCCCAAGTTTGAATTTTAAATTTTATTTTAAATTGGACCCAAGGATTGCCATGTGATATGTGGTGCTCTATTGTCTTGAATGGGTGCTGCTCAGTAGAGATTGTGCCAGACATTTGGGGTCTATGGGAAGGGCATAGAGCTCCCCTGTCAGATCAGGTATCCTGACATGTGACATGAGACTGGCCAGGGTTCCTGGACAAGCCCCATGGAGGTAGGAGCCCAGCTCAGAATTGTCTCTGCAGAAAATGCAGGCTCACCTTCCTGCTGGGAACCAGAACAATGCGGGCCACAGACTTCACTTCCCCCATCTCAGGGTCCAGGACTACCTCATACTGTCGTATCAGCTGGAGGGCGAGAGAGCAGGGCCACTGGAATCTTGATCTCCTATTCCTGTTGCTTCTGTAGACTTCTACCCTGGACCTCCCTGCCCCTCCTCTCCCTGAGTTCCTCCATCTTACCTGACCCACACAGCCCTCCCCACATTCCCTGCTCACCCTGGACAGTAGCAGTTGCATCTCCAGTTCTGCAATCCTTCGGCCCAGACAGGACCGAACCCCGTAGCCAAAGGGCACAGAGCCGAATGCGTGTTGGACGAGGGAGTTTTCAGTCTCTTTCTTCCTCAGCCATCGGTGAGGCTGGAAGCTCTCAGGCTCAGGAAAGACACTGGGGTCCCGGGATACCACGTAGTGGCATAACACGAACTGGGTCTACAGAGGAAGAATGGCATCAGCAAGGGCTACCAGCATTCCTGGGCACCTGGTGCTCTAGCCCAACTCACGTTCTTGGGGAAGAGGAAGCCATCGACTTCAGTTTCCTTTTCCGAGATGATCCGGGAGTTTGTGGGGACCACAGGGTAGAGGCTGCAGGGAAAAGAAAGTCTAGGCTCTGCTTCCAGATTGGGTGAGGAGGCATGACCCTCTTCTCACATCACTCTTGTCCCTAGGCTCCAGCCTTGGGCAGTCCCCACTTTCTATTCCTGCCTGATTACAGAGCCCATGTAGACCCTATGCACATGGGATCATGTCCTACCGCAGGGTCTCCTTAATCACAGCTTTCAGCAGGGGCATATGGGTCAAGTCCTTCTGTTGGGGCACCTTCCCAAAAGGCACCACACCCACCACTTCCTTGTGCAAGGCCTCCTGGATCTTTGGATTCTTGGAAAGATGATACAGGGCCCATGTCAGCGTGTTGGATGTCTAGGAGATAGAATGGGAAATAAAGATGAAGTAAAAGGCTAATTTCTAGGGAAGAGGATAGCTAAGTGGTGGGAGGGTCTTGTGAGTGGATGTAGATACAAGAAAGCTGACTTGCCACCAGGATGACAAGAAAAAGAGATGATGGTTCCTGGGGATCTCTATGCTAAACATGGACCCACAGGTTGAATAAGGACCAATATGGAGGAAGGTTGCATTTCAACCACAGAGGGGACTATAACAAGGAAAGAGCATGCCACAAAAATGCTAGAAATGAGTCCCCTAAGTAGATAGGGTGCTTGTGGATAAGTTTCCAATTCTATACCTAAATCACAGCAAGAGAATTGGAATCCTGTGGGATGGGATCTCCCAGCTGTCGGGGTGGGGACAGACAGACACATACACAGAGAGAAAGACAGAGAGGGAGAGAGACAGACAGACTGATACACACACACACACACACACAACACACACACACACACACACACACAGAGAGAGAGAGAGAGAGAGAGAGAGAGAGAGAGAGAGAGAGAGAGCATGCCAGGGGCCCAGATGTTGATGGAATTCCCCTTACAAAAGGGGAATTTTGTTTTTGAATTTTGCCCTCAACTGGGCAAACAACCGAAGTGATACAGAAGAAGCTAATATAAGAGACGAAGGTGTGTGTCAGGAGGCAGGGTGGGAAGAGTACAGAATAAATCAGGGAGTCCCTGGTTTCCCTGTCAGCCTTCCTAACGTACTGTGTCCACACCAGCCAAGAGCAGCTCAGGAAAGGTGCCGATGGCCTCCTCGGGACTGAGCAATGCATTGGCCAGCAGGAAGTGCAGGTAGCCGGATACCTGGACACCATCTGGCCCAGCTGCCTGTAGCTGGGCTTCTACCTCCTTAACTTTCTGATCAATCATCTTCTTCCCTGCAGGGGCCATGGGGAACAGAGGAGGGTGAGTTTAAACTCCTGGGGCGAGCTTCCTTCCCTGGCCCCAGGTAGGGACTTCTCACCAAAGGAAAACACCCTAAAAGCAGGGAGTATGAAGGAAGTCATGGGAGAGGCGAGCTTCCTTCCCTGGCCCCAGGTAGGGACTTCTCACCAAAGGAAAAAATGTTATTCCAGCCATTCAGGTATCGCTTCCAATAGGGTAACAGAGGACGAGTCCACTTGGGAAGGAAAGTGACATAGACGGAGTTCTGGAACATGGACCCGACAGATCTGATGAAGGTGGCGGTGTCCTCAGGGATGGTGGGCTCCAGGCAGCCAACCCTTTTCTCAAACAGGATATAGCAGATGGCTGAGAAGTATAGAGGCTGTCACGGCAGGCAGGGCCAGAGGACTGAGAATCCAGGGTCCTCAGGAAAGCCCATTCCTGCCCCCAGCCTCTCCCAGCAAGGGTACCTTCCAAGGCAAAGTTGTAGAGAAGGTGAGACATGTCTGGCACATGATCCCCTGATGCACTCTCGGCCCGCACCTGGTCCAGACGGGTTATAAAGTCATCAATCACCTCATTGAAAGCATTCGTGTAGAGTGCAGCCTCGGCAGGCTTCAGCAGCCGCTTGTTCAAAGCCTGGCGCAGCTGGTACCACTGATGTCCTTGTCTGGGGAATGTGGAGAATAGCACAGGTAAACATGGGGTCCCCAGAGAGTGGAGGGAATCTCAGGCCCCTGGAATTAGAATTAGGCAATCACTGAATATAATTGATATAAGAACCACAAAACTGACAAGCATGGCTTCATACACCTGTGATCCCAGCATTAGGAAGATGGAAGCAGGAGGATCAGGAGTTTGAGAGAACCCTTTACTAAAAATTGTTTTTGAGTGCTGCCTGGACTCCACAGACTCCTGTCTATGGTGAGTTGATTTTTTAAAAAGGACGGCAGAATGAACCACAAAACCTCAGAGTCTCACCAAAGCACTATGTGAATAGGTCAGGTGGCCTTCTAGAACCTAGAACTACCTAGGATCAAATCTTAGGTCTAGCCAAGGCTGGTAGTACATACCCATATTCCCTATGTTGGCTGGGCCATCATAAGTTGGAGACCAACCTTGGCTACAGAATAAGATTCTGTCTCCAAATAAAAACAAACCAACAAAAATCACAGGTTTATAGATTACTGCCTGAGCAACCTCAGAAAAGAGGTAAAACCCATGTGCTTTGGTTTTACCTCTGTACATGAAGAGTGATCCAAAACCTGTCATAGCAGGGTTGTTCAAGTGCCCAGATGAGTGCTTGGCACATGGTTTTTAGTAAATATTGACTGTAAATACCTTTGAATTATGCAACTCTGGAATCTTCTGTATGTGAAATGATAAGAGCTGCACCCACGCCTTCTGTGAGGAGGTTGAGGAATAAAATAGGAGCAGGTTGGGGTTCCCCTGCTGCCAGAGCTCTAAGCATCTATGCTCTCCTTGGTTCAGTGGGTCAAGGGGACAGGAGACCCACAAAACTGAAGCTTCAAGTTTATGTTCTAACCACACAATAGATGCTTAGATATCTACCCTGGTTTAAGGGAGGTCCAAATGGGTAGCAGACATACTCCAAAGACATATTTAAGGACAGTCCCACACTCGACTAATTCCCAAACCCATACCCTTTCCTATGCAAGCTAGATCAAATCCATAAAACTAGCTGCAGAGCAACAAATACAATGTGGTCCTGTGCTATGAGGAAGAGAGGGACCTCCCCCCACACACACACACACAGCTATGAGTGTTTGCACACTTCTGCTAAAGTGAGATGAAGACTCAACAATTAACAGCATTGAGGGCTCAGGAGAACAGAATGGGATGGAGGGGGACACTCAGAACTTCATTACTGAAAATTGGAAAATTCATTTATATAACAACAAGGCAGGAGTATCAAGATGTCTGAGGTCAGTCTTGGCTGAATAGTGAGTTTAAAACTAGCCTGGACTACATGAGATCCTGTCTCAAACAAAGGAGAAAAAACAAACAATATTACTATCAAAAATTTAAAACAATTAAGTTTTAAAAAGAAAAAAAAATGGCCTGAAGAGATGGCTCAGAGGTTAAGAGCACCAGCTGCTCTTGCAGAGGTTTAATTCCCAGCACCGACATGGTGGCTCACAGCCATCTGTAACTCCAGTTCCAGGGATCCACTGGCATTTGCAAGCACTGCAGGAATGTGGTGCACAGATGTACATGAAGGCAAAATACAAAATACACATAAAAAATTTTAATCTTAAAAAATAAAGAAATTTAAAATTTTGAAATAAGCCTCAACCCTTCCTCCTAGGAGGTTTGTTTGTGTTTGAAGAAGGCTGTCACAAAAATAAACAATGAGTATTGGCAAAAAAAAAAAAAAAAAGAAATGAAAATCAAAACAGACAAGAAATGACAATCAAAACAGACCCATTGGGTTGTTGAGGCTTTTTCAAGGAGCTAGATATGAAGACTCTGACAATGGCCCAATCAGAAGCAATTCCTTGTGGGGAGGACAGATTTGTAAAATGAGATTCTAAAGACAGATCTGTCAAAACAAGGCAAGAAAAACAAGTAGAATAGCTTTGAAAAATAGCCTTTATTTATTGATTATTTGGTGTGTGTCTGTTTCAGACAGGTCTCCCGTAGCCCAGGCTGCCCTTGGATTCATGATCTTCCTGCCTCTACCTCCTGAGTACTGGGATTAGAAGTATGTGATACACACTTAGCACAAAGTAGCCTTTAAATGAATACCAGGGACACACATAGAAAATTGGCATAACTAGATCCCCAAAGGGTCCTATATCATGTTCAGTTGAGTTGTCAAGTCCGGCCCAAGCAGCCTCTCTCTAGCCTGCAGGGCCAGGGAGGTTAAAGGATCTTAAACATCATTCTCTAGCTTCAGAATTTAGAACAAAGATCCTAAGAATCATTATCTTAGTGATGAAACTGTTCACCTTCGAAGGAGACAGAAACAAGAAAGGAAACCCCAGAGACTGAATCTACGGATATCAGAGACAGCTACAGCGAACCTATGACCAGGTCATTCTCTTTCTGAAGTATCAATGCTATATATAATTCCTTGAGTTCCAGAATCAGGAAGATCTACTTCATCATTGGCTAGGGGCATCACCTCTGACATGAGATGTAAAACCTCCCTTGGCTTCTGTTACTTTATCTGTAAAGTAGGGATAGTAATACTGTCCACTCCAAGGCTTGTTGTAATGGTAAAATGAGACCACAGCTGGACAGAGATGAGCCTGGTGTCTGGCGTTGTCAAGATGCATAGGTCTGATCAATGTGGCAGCTATACTAAAACATGATGGGGAAAGCTATTTACTATTTTTGGAGTTCTACTGACACAGTTAGGAGACATCTGAACATACCCAATTACAACCTGGATCTGCCACAATTCTGTAGCCTACTTCAATGAGTTTATCAGTAAATAACAATGCATCCTTCAAATGCCACTGCCAGAATAACTGTAACCTTTCTGGGCACAACTGAAATCTCTATCTACATGTATGTGGAAATGCGCCCATGAAGCTTATAGCCCATGATTTGTGTCCTCCCAACTAAATGATAATACTTTCTCAACTTCAAATTGATGTGCTTTCAGCCATGATGCAGAAAAATGAATCTGAAGCCAGGCTTTGTGGTTCCTGCAACCTCAAGATATTCATGACAATTTCGTGATAGAGACCCTGCTTCAAAACTTAAAAATTGTAGGGCTGTGGTAGCACACGCCTTTAATCCCAGCACTCAGGAGGCAGAGGCAGGTGGATCTCTGTGAGTTTGAGACCAGCCTGGTCTACAAGAGCGAGTTCCAGGACAGCCTCCAAAGCACAGAGAAACCCTGTCTCAAAAGACCAAAAAAAAAAAAAGTATAGCAAAAACTTAAAAATTACACCCAGTGGTTGAGTGATTGAACAAGTTAAGTTCCTAGCAGGAGTGGGGCCTCAGGACCAATCCCTCTACCACAAACAAATCTGAAAAGGCCTTGCTGGTATTTTTGTCCAAATACCCTATATTTCAGATCTGAAACACAAAAACAAGAAAACAGAAATTATTTGCTCGTCCAAAATGACAGAATGTATTGGTAGAACAGACAGTGGCTGGTCTCTGGGTTTCAGTCCACACCAATGGCTGCTTTCCAGTTATGCAGCTGGCTCAGGGGATGCAGAAAGGTCCCCTCTGCCCTGCATCTGACTGGTCGTCTGTGGCCATCCCCCAGTCCCCTTGAGCCCAGCTCACGTGACAAAGATCCCATAGGTGAGGCCCATGTGGTCTCGGTGCTCCTTCCACTGCTCCATGTGGTCTCTGATTGGGTACTTGCCCTCCTGACGCATCACTTGTTCCAAGAGCGAGGCACTGGCCAGATTCACATGGGTTTGAGTCCCAAAGGGGGTTGTCCACATTGGGCCATACTTGACCTTGTTCAGCGCCTGTGGGTGTTAACCAAAGTGGAATAACTGAGGGCCAGTGGAGATGACATTTCTGGAAGGAAAGATGGGCTAGGAGAGGGTCCGATGGCCACATCAGAACCAGCGGGCAGTACAAAAGTACACTGTGCAAGAGGAAGTAGAGCGGTGGCCATCGGTTCTGCAGACAGAGACAGAAAAAGTGGCCCTACAAAGAATAAGACTATTGACAGTGATGTTACCTGTAAGGGGTGGAAGGATCTGAGGCCTATGGAGAAATATGGACATATGGGAAACTGGGAGGGGGGAGGGGAGGGAGCTGTTTTAGATTAGGTGCAGATACTTGTTTTAGGAAGTCTGAGTAAGCCTAAAGTCCCTTCTTAGCATTTAAATCTATATAGCAAAAAGGTATAATGACATATTATATATGAAAATGGCATAATAAAACCCATTACTTTGCATACCAGCTTAGACAAATAAGACAAATAGGGCCAGTGAACAATCCACACTGCTAGAGAAGCTAGGAAACAAGGATGACCCTAAGAGAGACATGCATGGTCCCCTGGAGAAGGGGAAAGGGTCAAGAATCCCTGAGCAAATTGAGAGCCTGGGAAGAGGGGGGAGGGAGCTAGGAGAATGAGAAGGGAAGAAGAGGAAGGATGCAGAGGACATGAGGGAGCAGAAAGGTTGAGTCAGGGGAAGAGTAGGTAGGGTTTTAGTTGGGGGGTGATAGGGGAGGAAGGGAGGGAGAAGGGAACTGGGATTGTTATGTAAAACAATCTTGTTTTTAATTCAAATAAAAAAATAAAAAAAAAAAACAAAAAAAACAAATAGGGCCAGTGAGATGGGTAAGGTGCTTGCCATCAAGTTGTGACCTGAGTTTAATGGCCAGTACCCACATAGTAGGAGAGAACCATTTCTGCAACTTGTCCCCTGACCTACACACACACACACACACTGAAACATGTGCACACCATACATACATATACACACCACACCATGCACACACATATATACACATATACAACAAATAAATGTAGTAAAAACATTTTTAGATAAATAGAAAAATGTTAAAGATAAATAAATAAATATACTGTAGCTTGTAGCCTCATTGAGTTGAAGACAAATGTAATTACCAAGAGAAAGAAAAAAACACAATTAGGAATTCTAAGAAAAGAATAATTTGAGATGAGAAATGCAGAGTCAAATACGAAGTAGGCTGTGTTTTATTTGTTTTTTTAAAGCAACAACAACAACAAAAGTGACATGTGTGTTATATAATTCCTAAGTCTTTTCTAAGAACTGGAGGTGTAGCTCAAAGACAGAGATCCTGCCTCAAATGCAGGAGACCCGGGTTGGATCCTGCACACAGACACATCTTAGACTTTCTAAGGCACCTGCTAACTGATACTCTTAGTATCTAGGAAGTTGGCAGTTGCTAAGGGCTAGGAGCATCATTCAGTGATACGAAGCTTGCTTATCTTGAGCAAAGCCCAGGCTACTACAATGTATTGATAGTTGCTGAAAATGAGAGAGAAAATAAGATGGAGGGGAGGCCTAAAAGGAACCTACAGATGTGAAGCAGAACTTACTAGCTAAGCTACACCCACATGGTGAAAGAGAAAAAAGCCTGTGGTTTCCCGGTCATTTCCTCTTTCCCAATTGTTGCTGGAGACAAGACACCGAGTCAACTATGCTACAGAAACTTAGGCCATCGAGTTTCTGTGAAACAAACAGATTTATAGAGAAGAGACTCATCTCTGAGTCTTCCTGGTCCTCTCTGGACCACTGCAACATAATTGCTCCCAATACAGTTGTCCAGAATCCACTGAGTTAACAAGGCTTCCCATTGCTCAGAGGCCAGTCTTGGGAAGACCCCCGAATCCATTTGTTCCATACTTCCACCTCCCAGAGACATAGCCACAGTGGGTGTGGTAGGATCCTGAGTTGTTTAACCACAGTGACTAGTCCTATCTTCCCTCAGAAAAATCAGAGTGTACAAACCTGACTGGTGGGAGTCTCAAATGGCTTGTAACTATACTGGAGGACAATTGTTGATATTTCTAAAAATTGCTACAAGTTTACAAATGGAGTACAGGATAGCTACAGGCTGGAATACATTATCAACCACAGAAAAATACTGTGTAGACTGTCACAACAGAATATACAACTGCTGCCTAAGAAAGCCGGGCTGGAGCTGGGAAGATGGCTCAGTGGTTAAAGCCCTTGCAAGAGGATCCCCACAAACCACATAAATGCCAGGTGGGCATGGCAGCTCACCTGTAGTTCTGGCCTTGGAAAGTGAACAAAGGGGATTTCTGGAGCAAGCTAGCTGGCGAGACTAGCTATATTGGTGAGCTCTAGGTTTGATTGAGGCCCTGCCTCAAAGAATAAGTTGGAAGAATGACTTTGGGCCTACTTATGTGTAGGCCCAAAGTCTACACATGGGAGCACACATACATGAATGCAAGCATACCACACACACACACATGAAGGGAAGAAGCAGGGAAGGAGGCTAAATAAATATTCAACTTTCATTAAAGAAATACTAAATGGATATTTCAGACACAAGAATGCTTAGCCAGGGCAGATAGGGAAAGGAGTGAGTGGATTAGTTACTGTGAGACTTTGAGGTGGATTTTTTATTCAAACCACTACAGGGAGTGAGACTGCTCAATGAATAGCATGGTATGTTGTTTTAAGTTTTGAACTATGAAAATGTCTAAATTTTTTTTAATTTAAGAAAAAAAAGCTTTAGTGAGATTAAATCTTAGAAAATATCACACAGTTTATGCCAGATTAAAATATTCTCAATGTTAAAAAAAAAAAGAAAAAAAGGAAACAATGTTTTCTGGAACACATGTCACAACTATTGATCAGATAATTCTAGAAGGCAGAGAAACCTGTTGAACCCCTGCATTCATGCAGGTACTCCTAAAATTTATGTGAACCTTAGTTATATACATTTGTCTGTAAATGTGTTTTGTTTACTTTTCTTAAAGTTTCCATTAAAAAAAAGAAAAGCAAAAGTAAAAAAAAAAAAAAAAGAAGAAGACCCTTCCTATAATCAGTGACCACTTGCTTAGCTCGCATGAGGCCCAGGATTCCTGGGGTCAGGGGGAGAAGACAAGGACATGGACCCCAAAAACTGGAGTTAGATGTCTGCCACATGCCTGTAATCCTAGCACTAGGGAGTCAGAGGCAGGAAAATTACAGGTTCAAGACCAACCTGTGCTGCATAACAAAAAAGAAAAATAAAATGTTGAGGTAACATTTTTATTACAATGTGAATGGTGGTGGCCTTCTGCAGTAACAAATAGTGTTATGTAGATACATTTAATTAGTTTTGTTTTTTTTGTTTTTTTTTTTTTTTTGGTTTTCAAGACAGGGTTTCCCTGTGGCTTTGGAGGCTGTCCTGGATCTAGCTCTTGTAGACCAGGCTGGTCTCGAACTCACAGAGATCCACCTGCCTCTGCTTCCCGAGTGCTGGGATTAAAGGCGTGTGCCACCACCGCCCATAATTAGTTCTTTATACTGTGATTCATTTTCCAAATTTTCTACCACAATCTTGGCATCAGGAAAAAAAATCATTTTTAAAATGATTTTTAAAATCATTTTTAAAAGGGGGCTGAAGAGATGATAGCTCCGTGGTAAGAGTCATCTCTTCAGAGGACTCAGGATGGATTCTTAGCATGAGCATGGTGGCTCATGCTGGCCTGTAAGTCCAGTTACAGGGAGCTGACACCCTCTTCCAGCTCCCACCAGCACCAGCGTGCACATGGTGCACGGACATGCATGTAGACAAGACACTCATACACATAAAATAATAAACATTTTGAAGAAAAAAAAAAGCTAGATAAATAGCCACTAAGTGGGACACGAGTGCCTTAACCTCAACCCATAGCTCCTGAGGTTTCCTGACTCTCAGAGCAGAGGTTTCAGTTTCTCCCTTTTTCCGTTAGACTTCTTTCCGTCAGTTTACTGGGTGGCACTTAACAAGGACCTCCTTATGTAAGGACTTATTTTAGAAAGATATCAGGATACTTGCTGAGAGACGTGTGCTGCCCCGTGTGCCCGGCATTAGGAGGTAACCTGAGCCAGCCAGGCAGTTCTCACAGAGTGCTTACTGCCTCAGAGCTACTTGCTGAGCTAACATGTCACTAGGATGAATGAGACATGTCCTCACTTGGTGGAACTCCAGAGATGGAGAGTGAGGAATTCATCAGCACTCACCCGTGGGATGGGGAGCTCCCATCTCACCCTGGGCACAGGTGTACATCGGGAGACACTGCAGAGGACAGCTGAGCTCAGAGTCCACATCCCAGTGGGTCAGACTGACAGCTGAGAAGTGAATTACATACTCTCAAATTACTTCCTAACTATTCTGTGGATGTCTTTTTATTGTTGTTATGTTTTGCTTTTTAAAAAAAAGGTCTGTCCTCTGACCTCCACGTGTGCACTATGTCACACGCATGGCCTCATGGCCTCACTAACACACACACACACACACACACACACACACACACACACACACACACACCCCAAATCAAAGTTACAATATTATATCATTTTATGCCCAGTAGGATAGTTTGAAAACTTCAACAAATAAAAAATAAGCAGGAAGTACGCATTGATGAAGGACAAATTGGAACCCTCGTGTTTCGCTAGTGGAAAATACAAACAGGATACTCACTGTGGAAAACATTGACACGGAATTATACACAATTCAACAATTCTAGTCCCATATACATGAGAAATGAAAACATGTCTACACAGACTTGTCTACAGTGTTTACAGAAACAACAGCAAATGGTAGGCCAGTCCAGACAGCCACCAATAGATAGATAAACAGATAACCAAGCTATATGCATACAATGGGGTATTGTTCAGCATGAAGCAAAGCACTGACTCATGCCATAACTTTCTTAAAAACATATGATAAGTAAAAAGAGAGGGACACAAAACAAAAGGTCACATGCTGTGGTTCATCATCTCCCTGTCTCCCTTTAGAACTGTTTCACCCA